TCCTAAATAATTATTTAGTTATTATTTCATTTATTATTTATTTATTTATATTTATCTTCTTTTTAAATACTGCTTTAATATTATTATTTGTTTTTTGATTTATATTATTTTTTTCATTATTAATTTTTTATTTTATTTTATTTTTTACCATATTGTTTTATTTTATTTATTTTTGTTATTTTTATTATTTATATTAAATTATATATATTTGCAACTCGAAGAATTAAATGTAAATATATATAAATAAAATTGCAAGATTTAATTAGTTTTGATATTACTTAAAATAATTAAAATAAAATGTATAATAAATTTATATAAATATATTCAACGGGTAGTAGCTAAGCTTAAGTTAGCTTAAGTTACTCAATTTCAATGCTAGCTCTAACTACTTAATACACAACTAGCTATTTAGGGAAGATTAATGCACTTACTCTCTGGTGTTGGAATCTGTGCGCCGTGTGTCGTTAGAGCTGCGATTGTCTGCAATAGAAAGTGGATAGAAATTAGAAAAATGTTCATTAGCTAGACAATAAAAAGGGGGAGGGGAAGGGGGAGCCACCATAAAGCTGTTGACATAAATCACGATCGAGCCGACATTAATGCCACACTAATCTATGCAACTCTGCAGGCTGCAGAGCTGAGCTCCTTTAATTAAAATGGAAATGCAGAGAAATGCGCCAAGATATTCGTGCACACAAAGATGATGAGATAGAGAGAGGGACAGGGGTTGGCTCTATGTATACATGGGCAACATTATTCTCACGATTCTAAAGGCGCAAATGCAGCCAAAAAAAAAAAATAAGGAAACTTTCGCCAACAGCAGCTCGCGTCGGGTTAGAGTTGAAATTCAAACTGTGCCTCCCCAAGTGGCGGCTCAGACGGAGGCTGAGACTAAGCCAAGCCGGCTTAGAATCGAGGCATGGAAGAGCTTTCAGCCAACTGCAAGCTGCCAGCGTCTGTGCCACTTTTGGCAACTTGGCACGGCATCAATGGGCGATGCGGTGCAGCGGAGTGCAGCTTGCCGCTGTTGCCGGGCTCATATTCAGGTTAATCTCACTGAGGCCAGCCAATTGTCATTCACAGCCTCCGGACTCTGATTGATGTGTTTAGCCAATTTTTTTATTTTCTTTCTGTTTTTATGTTTTTAGGGAATGAGGTCAGACAATGAGTGCTCCAAGCTTGTTTGATAAATGTGAGATATGCATATGCAGGGCTGTTCTTGGGATTATATCGTGCTGCTGGTATCAGAATGATGTGAATTGTGGATCCGATATCCAAGGATATCCAGCTGGAGAAAGAGATATAAAATATGGTAAAGGGAAGTTCTTCTGGTATGAGCTGAAAGTTAGCGTAAATATATTTCACTCTATCAGTTCTAAGAAAATGGAAAGGAGTTAAGGTATTGGAAAGGATTTTAATCATTTTTCTTCCCCAACATACTCTCATTAGAAGTTGGCATATAAAGTACATATTTTATCAGAAAAATATACATAGGAATTATAAATATATAACCTATATGACTTCTCTATCTCATGATCGACTATCTAATATATCTATCCTCCATATTTGATAATAAACTCTATACTTACAATCAGATGCAGCGCCGTGCATAAAATTCGAGTGCTTGCCTTCATCGTGGGTGCTGCAAAGAGACAAACAGAGAGAATTAGAGAAATTGTGAGCGAACTCTGGTGATTAATTAGAGAAACAAAACATGAGCAAACCGGTTGACTATCTGTATATACAAATCCGATTACATTATGCAAAAAGGAAAAAAAAAATCATTTTCAATGAATTTTTGATTAGAGGTGTTGGCTGTTGTTTTTTTTTTCGCTCGAGGCGAAACTTTCAGCCCTGGCAATTGGGTCAGCCAAGCTTGCCTGCCACAGGTTGCGTGCCCCGCCAGAAATGAGGCTAAAATCAGCATAAGCAGCAGCAGCAGCAGCAACACATATGCACAGGAAGCAACAAGCATCATAACGGTAAAGGCGCATCGAGAGGGCGCATCTGAGGTAAGCAAGGCGAGCAAAACCAAAAACGGGTATTAAACACATATCAATAACCAAATGGGGCACATGATAAGCAGTTTCCATCGGCACAGAGCTTCCTGCATGCATCGAGTGCTGTGAGAAGATATGAAAGTCGAGTCATGGTCAGGAAGAGGCAACAAGTTTTCTTGTTGTTGATGCTGTTGATTGTTGTTGCTGTTGTTGTTGTTGTTGTTGTTGGTTACAGCATGATCGTTATCGAGAGTCACAACAACATGCAGCTTACATAGGCTGGCCGGGCGCATGTGATAAAAGCCGCTAGAGACTTCTGTTTGCTCGGCGAGATGATGTCACAAGACACACCGATAGGCAGACGGAGAGACAGACAGACGTACACACTCACCCATTGATTGCAGCTGTCTATTATTCCCGGTGCTATAATCTTTTTGGGATTATTAATAAATGGAAATTGGGTCAAGCGATATCGTCAGCGTGCGTTGATAAATGGTTCGCATTATCCAACCAAATATACATATACATATGTATGTATAGAGATATTTGTCAATGCCAGGCCCACACAAAAAAGAGAGACAATGAAAGAGAGAGAGAGTGAGGGGGGAAGAAAGAGCGCGAGATCTTCCGATCGCTGCTAACCGCGTGGCTTCACTCACAGCTTTCAACTGACAGCCGTCAAATGCAAAAAGTTAACTAATACTAACAACAACAACAACAGCAGCAGCAGCAGCAGCAGCAACAACAACAAATAGACAATACTCGCATTGCAATAAATTAGCTAAAATTAGACGCATGACGTAAACCCATTTAGCAGCAAAGCGCAAATATGTCACCAATTGAGCTTCACTCGGACAAAAAATAAAAAACAAATAGATAAACATAAAAAACACAGTCAACAGCTGTTTCAAGCTAAAAGCGCAGCTCATGCATTTGAAATCGCGACAGACGAGAGAAAAAATATATAAATATAGAGCAAATTTTAAATACTCTAAATGAAGGTGCTGAAGCTGAATTGTAAATAAAGCAAAAATGTTGTTTGTATTTAAAAAACTAATTAAGATTTTATAATAAAAATATATACTATAAATAAAGCTAAAATTTGGTAAATATTTATAAGAATAATTAACAACTTAATATTGGCATACTAAAGTTTGGTTTAATTAACAAAAATAATAATAATAATAATAGTAATATTATTCAATACACATATATAAATATAATTTAATAAATATAATACTTTTAGCAAACTTTAAATAATCTTATAATAATTTTCTACTTTTCATTTATTTATTTATATTTTTAGATTGCTATTTCAATTATATATTATATCAAGCAGTACTCTCTACCCTTAACAAATATAAATACTAATAATGAATGAATGTAAACTTCAATGCACTTTCCAAAAATCCCGATCCCGTTCATTCCTTGCCCCATTACAATATCAAGAGACCCGCTGCAAGCGAAAACAAACAAACAAAAACGTTAAGTAGAAAAAAAAGGAGAAAAAAAATTGGTGCGCATTGCGCTCAACGGAAATTATGAATAATGAACTCTGATTGGCATCTGCTCTCGTTACCCAGTTTCGAGAGTTTGAAAAAAAATAAAAGCCAAATCAAACAGCAACATGAGCGAAAAAAAAACCTTTGCAATAAACCCAATGAAATGGCTTCAAAAGTGACCTTCGAGTGGGGTACGTCAGTTCAGTAAGCAGGAAATTGCACAGAAATCTTAATTTATGTGTTTCTCAACTGAAAATTCATTTTAGCTATGCTAATTCAGTTAATTTGTAGTTTTGATAGCATTGGCATAATATTGATATGATGTGATAGCGGCTTAAGGCAAATGTTTTATTTATTTAGTTTTAATTGTAATAAAAAGCGAGCTATATATAAGTAAGAGTATGTATGTATTCATGTATATATTTTATTTATTATTTAAATTTTTAATTAATTATTTTCTCGCATACAAAAAAAATTTTTTTTTAAATATATATATTATATTATATATAATATTTCTTTAAATAATTTATATATACTTATTTATTTATTTTTAATCTTTTTTATATTTTTATTTCTATATTATATTACATATGCATGCTTGATTTCTTTGCAAAATATTTTTAGCCAACATATGATAATATACAGCTCATGATAAGTCCTAGATAATACCTCTAATACTATCATATATGTGTATATACATTATATACTTTGATTTAAATATCTGAGCATTTTCAATCGATGATCATCAATGCGAATGCGTGCGTGCATTCAGCTGTAACGGATATTTTTATGTGACTCTGTCAAGTGTCGTATTCGTTTGACACACATTCCGTAACAGCAACCGCAAACAACAGCAGCAGCAACAACAAACACAAAAACCTTTAAGCCAAAACAAATACGTATAGAAAAAGCCGACAAATGGGCCGTGCAACTGAATAAATTAAGCGAGCTGCGAGCAACGCGCAGCAAGCTGTGAGCTGTGAGCAGCGCGTGTAAAAAAAAAAAACTTAACAAAAATTAAATAACAGAAAAGACAAAAAGCGCTAAGCAAACATATTTGTTTAAACAATTGCATTTTCATTTACGAGCGCAACTAGACGTATACGTAATGTGGCGACTAAATGACCTCGCGTGCTGTTGTTTCATTGTGCCAAAGCCGCCAGCCATAAGCATATGCAAAAGCCCATTTTTTTTCATAGTTTTTAAAGTTGATTTTTTCCTATTTTGTTTATTTTTAGTTTTTTTCGCCATGCTTAATTTTTAAAGCTTTCTGCTCGAGCGATATTGAAAGGAACAAACTATAAAATCGCTTTGCTCAAAAGGCGCATAACAATGCGTTAAATTGTGCTAATTGGTAGAGGGACAGAGATAGAGCGAGAGACAGGCCTAGAGAGATGCTATTAGAGAGACAGAGATAGCTCGACTTATTCCATGGCGCCTTACTGATCGAAGCATTATCTAGTTGCGGCATCTGCCCCACATTTGATTGAACCAATTATGTTGTTCTTCCACATCAATCAAAAGACTCAAGACACGAACTCGACAGACACAAGCTTGGGCGATTAAATCGACTTCATTAGAACGAGGCGACGCTCACAATTAGAATCAACACAAGAAACACGGCCATGCAAATTGCCTAAGGCAAATACCTCTAAAAGAAGTGTGTTAAGCACACACACACATACATACATGCACAGACTTGCACACATACGAGCAGCGCGCCTAACCACAAATGTTTGACCTATTTGAAATGAGCAACAGACTAAAGAAGAAGCAGACGCAGACGAAGAAACGAATGAAAATAAAAATCGAAACGGGCAACGACAAAGACCAAGATTCTAACAGCTAACAGCTAACAGCTAACAACTTTCGGTTGTGGTTTGCTCCAAGTGCCATAAAAATGAGAAATCTCCACAGCAACCAGACTGCCCTCCCTCTTCCCATTTATATGGTAGTATATGATCAATCTAACGCATCGTCTAGCTAATTTCGCTGCAATTCCAATAGAAAGTAAGTTGGCTATATATATATTTTTTTTTTATAGGGTTTCCATTTGTTATCTAGCAGCAGGCAGCAGCGGCAGCTGCATCTCAGCCCGCATTGTGTTCTTAATTATGGTAATTAACGAGGCCCATCACATATCTCCACCTCGCTCCCTCCCTATCTCTCTCTCTCTCTCTTACTCGATATACATATATATGTATATGGCTTTTCTTTACAGTTTTTTGTTCGCTTTTGGGGTCAGGCATGGCTTTGTCTTAGCTTTTACTTTTACTTCGCATTGAGAACTCGTATGTGTGCTAATCAAACGGGCTTAAGATCATGATCAAACCCAATTGAAGTGCTGTGTGTCTCTGTCAGTCTTTGTGTCTAACCGAAACTTTCACCTGCTTAGCTATGCAAATAAGTACGCATTGAATATAAAAAAAAAAAAAAATACAAAATTAGAATTTCAAATCTAGCAAGAATACACAAATATCTATATATATATATATACTTCGGGTGTGCTGCAGTAGCGGCTATTAGGCGTCATTTGCCAGCTTAAGTTAACAAGTTTTGTATTTAGATAAAGAGCAGAGACTGGGGGCCAGATCAAAGTAAACGCAACCAACGAAACGGAACGAATGTTTTATTTTTTTGTTTTTCTTGTTTTGTTTTACGGCTTGACGATTGCGTCAAGGTCATTGCAATTGCACAGCCCGAGTGCAAATGCGCTAACGATGCCCAGCAATAGGTCATTAGATGAACAACGGCAACTGCAACAAAAAGCAACAAAAAGCAACAATAGCAACAGTTGCTCATTTGCAATTTGCAATCAACGCCAACATCAATTTCCATTGTTTCGGTTTTTATTCCCCCCTTCACGCTTTTATTATTTGCAATTAACAATTAAGACAAAGTGCAGAGACATTAATTGTGTCTCTGCCACTAAAATCAAATGACTTAGGCAACAAACTTTATACTGACCAATTGCAACATGGCCAAAATTGTTTTCATGAGCCAGTTTTCAGTTACTTTATATTTGCAGCGGCTTAAATGGAAAGGCGCAGCTCTCCAAGCTGTCCTTGTGCAATAGGCTAAAAAGGGTATATCGAGTTGGTTTGGCAAGAGACAAATTAAATGACTGGAAAATCAATATA